TAGATGTGAACATGTTTTATAGGAAACCATGTTAAATGGACTGTAATGCGTTTCTGCAAAAAGCACTAAAAAAAACACATTGGTGTGAATGTAGCCTAATTGTTAAGACTTTTTAGCTTCCATCAACATAAAGGAGTAACACATTCCCATCTTTCCAGCTCACTGGCAATTTCTTCGCTTTGCAACAGACCTCTCTGACCTTGCAGTCTAATCTGTCAATCATGATGCATACCCTGGAGAACTTTGAATGAATCCACTACTTTGAGACGTAATTTTGACACATCAGAGTATTTGGCCCTTCACTTGGATACCCTTCAAGCCAAAGTTTTCCTACCCCAGAAAATGTTGATGAAACTGGAATCAGGCTTGGCAACTTTCATCCTGGAATTTGTGTTCCCTGCGGAACTGCATTCAAATGCTGGAATTGATGATATCCACTTTTGAAGCAGTTCCATATTTCTTAATTTCAATCCAGAACTTTGCAACAAAACATCCTCCCAGGGTGGGACAATTCATGTCTTTCACTGAACAAAATAATCAGGTTACATTGTCATACCAATGGTCTTGGTAGGTGGCTTCCATCCAAACATTGTCAGAGAGCATTTTTTTCTTCCTTACACTGTAAGATTGTAACAATGGATGCCAGCCTTCTGGGTTGGGGCAGAGTTCTGGGCCATTTGTATTTTCAGGATTGTTAGTATCTGGGGAAATCAAAACTTCCAATCAACATCAAGGAGTTGCAAGCAATTTGTCTTTATTTAATTGTACGTCTGATCCTGATTCGTTCATTCAGTGCCACAACTGTGGCTTACATCAGTCTTCAAGGGGACACCAGGAGTGTTGGAGTGTGTGTGTGTTGGTGATGGAGATATAATCTATGCTGTCCTCAGTAGAGTTTAATGTTCCAAAGATCACCGCAGTGTACATTCATAGTCTTCTAGCTTCTCGGTTCACAAAGGATGTTTTAATGAGATTTTCAAAGAATCCTTTACAACAAAAATCAGCAAAGGGCCTGAGCACTCACTTCCGGTACTCTGCTGGATGTGTAAAATGGGGAATGAGGTAGCCAGGTGAAAGCTTGGTGTGTGAGAGAAGCCAATGGCAGTTTTATACCAGCTGCAGGCAGTTCCAACATACATATGCTATTTTAAACTAGTGTCATTTCTAGCACCTTTAGGTGTGAGTGCAGCTTGTGATTTTGGATTTAAAAAAGGTGCTTTTTTCAGTATAATATCATGTAGAGCTTTATGTGTTTTTACATTGCAATGATCAATGAGAGTTTAAAAAAACGGCAGATGACATAGTGAATGAACATTTAAAATATAGAGGAGAGAATTGTTTAAACCAAGTGTTTTGGCCTGAATTTCTAGTATGGTCATATAACTAGTTAGTTTTTGTTTATAGGCACAGGTGTTGGGCAAAAAACTGGTTTGTAGTGTGAACATGGAGGTATTGGAAGATATAAAGATGCACAGTCACATATATTTGTTAGAAAGTCTTTAATTTGATACAATTTTTGAAACTATATTTGGATACATTTGTATATAATTGTAAAGTGTGTCACAATAACTTTATGATTTTGAGATCATTGCACTTGGTAAAAAATTATTTTATAAAAAAAAACTGGGCAGATTTGTCTCCAGGACGCATGACCCAATGGCAGATACGTAGAACACCTTGGTGGGATCAGTATGCCCTGATCTATGCATTTCCTTTGATGAAACCTTTACCTCATCTACTTCAAAGGATTGAACTTTAAGGCATTCAAGACATTCTCATTGCTCCAAATTGGCTTATTTCATCTATCAGCTTCTTTCATCTATCAGCTGACACTGTGTGGCCTCTTCCAGATAAGCCAGAATTGTTCCAAGGACCACTTCCAACCTGCTTCTCTTTTGCTGGATTTGATGGCCTGGCTGTAAAACCCATGTTCAGAGAGACAGGGGCATTTCTGGCACAGTTATCAGAAAGTGGACCATGCTTAAAGCTCATAAATATACTTCCTGCAAGATTTATTAATGAATGCATAAAGCAAGTTTTTATTTTTACTGTGAGTCTCTGGTGGTTTTCCAAAGTGCCTTTTTGGTGGCCTGTGTTCTTTCCTTCAGTTGTCAGTAGAACATTTGTTCTTCAGTACAATCAGATGTCTGTCTTTCCTGTTCTTTTTCAACATACTCTTGCTAATAATTCTCTGATTCTCACCTGTAGCACTACCCCTGTAGAAGCCGCTGGATAGGATGGGTCGTCTATTCTTTGCCTCGCCCCCAGACTCTCTGATACACTAGGTTGAGTGTACAAAGCATGCAATATCATAGAAAATTACTAAAAGTAATACTTAGCACCCATCAGTAGTACTATATCATAAAGCTGGTGCACTTAACTACAATTTTAGTAAACCAGCATGCAGTAAGATGCAGTAAAATTGTGGTATAGGTGCAGTATAGGTGCACTATACTTAATGTCCTGCCTTCAGTAACCCAGTCCCTGCTAGCAGTGTGAACAATGGGCAATGCCCTCACACCAGTCCCTGTGGTGTGGCTGTGAACTTTCACTGTAAAAAGGGGGCCCTCTCCACGGGATGCCTCCAGTGGTGGGAAGAGTTTCAACGGTGAGAAGTAGAGGGTGAGAGGATGCTCTGGTCTCTCTGCAGTAATGGTGCAGATGTGGTTGCTGCAATCTGTGCTGCCTCAGATGCCTCTGCTGGTCTGGCTTCTCAGCAGTCTGGTCAGTATGCAGCACTCGTGCTCTTATTAGTTCCCTCAGCGCCAAAAGGTATTAGAGCAATCTATAAAAAACTATTCTACCACACCCCCTCTGCCTCGGTGTTTTATGGGAACTGTAGTGTAAAGGGTCAATAAACCCTACAATATGGCTTACTTCCTGAACGTCAAATCCCATTTATTATATTTATTTATTTCTGGTACTTATATAGCGCCGTCAATTTACGCAGCGCTTTACACACATATATATTGTACAATCACATCAGTCCCTAACCCTCAAGGGGCGTACAATCTAAGGCTCCTAACTTACATTCATACATACTAGGGCCAATTTAGACAGGATCCAATTATCCTACCAGCGTGTTTTTGGAGTCCCATGATCCCATGATCCTCAGTGTTCCGCATAAGAACCCATGGGTTTGAACCTATTTGGGACATTTCTTTTACTTTGTTTTCCTGTAAGGTGCGCTTTACTGTGGCCATCACTTCGGCTAGAAGAGTCTCTCAGTTATCAGGGGCATCCTGTAAGGATCCCTATTTGATTTTACATAAAGAAAAGGTTGTTTGCAGACAATGGATGTGTTCTTTGTCTAAAGTGGTTTCTGAATTTGATGTTCATGAGGATATTGTGTTGACTTCTTTAGGTTCAATATCAGTTCACCCCAAGGAGATTTCTCTCCATTGATAGGATGTGATTATGGCTGTCAGGATTTTGGTCTTTCAGCCACTGTTTTTTTAAGCGGACTGATTATCTGTTTGTTATTCCAGAAGCTTCTAAAAGAGGTTCCAGATTCACTATTTCTAATGGAATTTGACAGGTTGGTGAATAGTCCTATGAGTTGTAAGGTGAAATGCTTAATTTTCCTGTTAAATCCTATCTGTAAGACTGCATCCTTTTCTGTTAATACAGGCTCTGAGTTCTGCAATCTCCTTGGTTCTCTTTTGTTTTGGGTTTTATCTTGTTGGGCTGGTTTACCTGTGGTTTTAGGTGTGCCCACCCCTCCGTTTGGTCTCCTTTTGATGGTCCCCGGGCACTTTCCATCAAAGATGTGTCCCTCAATGGGCAATAGAAAAAATAGGATTTTTGTTCTCACTGTAAAATCCTTTTCTCAGGGTCCATTGAGGGACACAACTCTCTTCTCTTCCCATCATATGTTAATGTTTTTTCGTTAGACTGATTACTACAACTGAGCAGATGTGAGATTGGAAGAGTAATAGCCTCAAGGGAGTTTTCTATGTACCTAGTGTCCGTTTCTCATGTGGGTGGCAGTATAACCCTAGACTGCTTTTTATCATCAAAGCAGTGACCCTAAATCCACTTTGAGAAAAGGAATTTACAGTGAGTGCAAAAATCCTGTTATGCTAACCTCCGATAAATTCTTTACTTCTGTTTAGGACCCCCACATAACCCTTAAGCTGCATTCACATCTGTGTGTTCTGGGAACACGTACAGAAACATGCAGTAAAAAATGTGCCAGTCTCTGTACCCAAAAAAGGTGCAAGAGCTTCTTTGCTTCTTTGGCATGTGTGTCGAGCGTAGGGCATCTCTTTCAAATGAATTGGTTGCCCTATGCATTTGCAAAACAAAAACTCATCCAGGCTAGTAAAACAAATAGCTCAGCTAAAACCCAACCTATCACAAGTGTAACACAGGATCAGATGAGTCACCAGTAAAAACCTGTAGAGGAATAATCCCTCCCCAAAAATAATAAAACACTTTATGAATTTGGTTGCTTATTGAGCAGGAGTTAAAGAGATACTAAACCCATGACCCTCCATTCACTATATCTGGTCTCCCACAGTAAACACAACATGGACATACAATTATATTAGTAAATATAAACTGCTAAATACCTTTTCTCATCAGTAGTTAGAGCAGTCTTGGAACTTCAGAAGAGACTGGGTTAAAGCTTGTAGGAGGAGTTTTCTTTCTGCTCTAGGAGGATGTAAAGGCATGACCCTCTGTCTGGACAGTGCTGATCCCATGCACTTTCCCAAGAAAAAAAAAAAGACCTCTCTAGCAATACACACCAAACTGAGCATGTGCACATGACTATGGATTCAATCTATATCAGGTGGTCATTTCAACAAGAGGAGGGGCAGAGAGAAAAAGGATCAAACAGCCTTTTTACACAGTGCAGAGGATTAACCCCTTAGGTTCCACAGTGAGTTTAACAAGCATGCTTTACTGCATAGACAGACTGATTTTACTGTTTTGGGTTTAGTAACACTTTAAGTGCTAAGGTACAATGATTGAAACTTGTTTTATATTCCAGAATATTATACTCTGGATACTGCACAGATCTTGTAAGGATGTGGAAAGTGTATAAATGCATAGATAGGATCATCTCTTGGGCGAGGTTGATTATTTGGTATCTCAAAAGTAAATTGCTGTAGGAGAGTTGTAAAGAAAAGGAAAAGTTCCATTCTGGCTAGCTGTTCTCCTAGGCAAGCCCGTCGACCTGCAAAGAAAAACATAATTACAAGGATAATCTTGCTGGTTACATCTTCTTTACCTTTTTACATATTATAAAAGCTCACATGTTCAGAATGTGGTACAGAAAATATTATAAAACATTTTTGCAGAAAAGAGGCATTAGGAAGATGCTGCCAATTTTGTGAGATTCTTTTCTTTAGTCTTTGGTCACACCGAATCCGACTTTGAAAAAGTGCGACTTCACTTGAATTCGCACAATTTCAAAGTCCGATGTCAGTCTGACTTCAGGTGCGACTTGGAAGACATCCGTGCAACTTCATGAACTTGCAAAAAGTAGTGCATAAAGTACTTTCAAAATTGATCCAATATGACCGCTTCCATTACGGACAATAGAGTGCGACTTCTCATGCAATTCGAAACTACCAAATCGCATGACAAGTCGCACCAGTGTGACTGGGGACTTACAATGTAATTACTCAGAATGCCTTTTAAACAACTTCTATAATAGGCAGGGTTAAATACGGTGTTTTCAGTAGTGGATCACTATGTACAGTATGTAGCACAGTTAGGCTCCATGAACACTAGCATTTTTCATAAGCTCACAAAACGCTAGAAAAAAACGCTGGATGAAAAACACTGATAATAGCATTTTTGTGCCAGCTTGTAGTAGCATTTTAGTAGCGTTAAAGAGCGTTAGCATTTTTACAGTACATTAAGGCCTCATGCACAAAGGGCGTTTTTGAAGCCGCTTTTAGGGGTGTCAGGCTTTTTTTCACTACCTGCAGACTTTTAGCGGCAGGAGTGTTTACAGAAAGGGAAAAAAAAACCCCAGGGCCAGTGCATCCAGGAACAGCAGCGTTTTGGCAGAAAAAAATCCTTTGACACGTGTAAACACATCCCAATGTACCTAAACACATGTTAACGCTAGGCATGTTTGGCACTTGAGCGTTAATTAATTTCAATGGCCAGAATAAATTATTATTCTGGCCAATAAAATAAATTAACACCCAGGCATTTGTTGCCTGTAAACACACCTAAACACTTGTAAAAGTGTTAGATGCTTTTACAAGTATCAGACGTTTTTTCTGCAAAACTGTTGTTGCCAGGAGGAAGGCTTCTAGGAGGGTTTATTTTAACGTCCTGTGTGCATGATATCCCTGGATCAAGCAAATTCCCCTGCCTATGGTGATCAGTAACTTCTATGCAATACTTAGATTCAAAAACATTAATATTGTAGATAACATGACATTAAATAAATCATTCTCTTTAGAGGATACTGGAGCTCTTTTTCTATTTGGTTAATTACAGTATAATTCATTTATGATTTGAGGATTTTCTAAGTGAACATACATTTACTGGTTCCTCGTTAATCCAATAATCCACATATCATAGCATTGTAATAGCAGCATAAAACAAAACAAGTTACATTTTTGCCCTGTTTAATGTATGCAGTACCTGCTGAAAATGGAATGAAGGCCTCTCGCTTTACAAACTTGCCATTTTCATCAAGGAAATGCTTTGGATAAAACTGGTATGGCTTATCCCAGACCTGCTCGTCTTTCAGCACAGAGGATAAATTGGTGAAGATCGTAGTCCCCTTTAAAAAAGAACAATTAGCAGATGCAGAATATTTTTTTAACCTAACCTGCTACAGGTGTATATGTGACCAAAAACCTGCAGTTAGAGCTTAGTGAATGTGCATGGGTTTGGTTCATGACTGTTTGTCATACCCATCATAAGGGTCTTAAAATTGTGAACTGAACTCCAATGAAGTCTATGGGGGTGAATCTGGAAAAATTATTCTGCCCATTTTCAGGGTAATAGGCAGGGGATTGGCAAACAAAGAGCATGCCCTGGAAAACATGTATGAATGCAAAATTACATTTTAAAAAATACCATTAAGCAGGGAGAAGGGTGTAATTTGTACAGTATGTGATGTTATTGAACAGTACAGGTTTCACAGATAGTGAAAGTGTCATTGACAATGTATTCTAGCAGATTTAAAATTATAGCCTGCAGCTGACTAAGCCAAGATGTTGCTTGTACGCTGCCTGACAGTGAACAAAACCAAGTTTAGTGACTAAGCCTGAGATGAAATGAGCCCTGGGAGAGTCCACTTGGTAAGTGAGCTGTAAATACATTTTGTATCCTGTACAGGTTGCAGGAAAGAAAATCACTCGACTCACAGTCAGTGTTGATGGAGGAATTTCTCCTATTGTGTTCTGTCAGTGGGGAGCCTTCCTTGTTGGCAGACCACAATGATTACTGCTGGCGGCTATATCTGTCAGCAGTAATTGCATGCAAACAATCCAACAGGCTGGTTGTACTGAAGTTGTTTGAAGGATCGACTTCAGTACAACCAGTCTGCCTATAGATGGATTGAATCTTGGCAGGTCCCTGCTGAACCAGTTGAGATTTGATCCATCTATGGCCAGCTTTAGGGTGCCCAAGTGTGCATTGGGCCCTTCACAGATCTATTTACACACTTAAAAAAAGAAAATTAAAGTTGTAAAGCATTTAGAATAAAGTGTCTGTACATATAATATTACCTTTGGTATGAAACATCCATGAATTTCCATGTCTCTGTAGGTCATGTGAGGTAAAGCTAAATCACTGAAGCTGTATTTCAATCACAGCTGAAGCGCTGTATTTCATGAGGTCATGTTGAGGTAAAGCTAAAGGAGCAATATCACTGAAGCGCTGGTATTTCATGGATGGCATTTCCAGAATATCCGCCATTGTTGCTTTTCTCTCCCTTCCAATTACTTGATCAATTTCTTCATGAACTTTTTCTAAACCAAAATGCACATCATTATATAAATATTGTGCCACCCTCACAGACTGATACTAGTCACACTGCTGACTAAGGTAGAATACAGTATCTAATAGCTGTTACTTATGGTTTACATAGAATTTATTATGGGGTACAGCTACTCATTATATATTTACTGAGAGCAATTTTAGATTTATCTTGGCTTGCACAGCAGACTTGTCTCTATCCATGTCTTTGTATCTTACTGTCATTTTCTCAACTGAAGGAAAATGTAAAAATCCACCCTTGTAGTTGGCGATCTCACCCCACTGCAAGGGTTAAATACTCATTTCAACCTGGAGAGGGGAATAAAATGTAAATACTTGCCTTATTCCTCTTTCCAGCAGGCTCCCTCCAGCACTTCAACCAATCCCCTGCAGCTGTCTCTGTAAGCCTCTCCAGTGTAAAATACAGGGTTAATGTTCCTGTATTGTTCGTGATGATGCCAAGGCTCTGCCCATAGACTGGAGCTTTGGGCAGAGGAGGAGAGTCCTGGAGCCAGCCTTAGCAGGGCTGTAAGGTAAACCCTAGGCATAATGAGCATTTCATGCTTGCACTGTGAAGGGGGGAGACTGCATGGATTTTTTTTCATTTTCATCGGGCTTTAATTCTTTTATTTATACTGGTACTAGTTGTCAGCTGCAAAAAACATATACTATAAATGCAATCTTGCTTTATCAGCTCAATGGAATAAATCTGGATTCTTAGATTCCTCTTAGGCTACCTAGTAGAAAAAAAGTTATAACCAATATTTACATAGTTAGTAGAGATGAGCGAATTATTCAAAAATTCGATTCGACTGATTTTGTCGTGAAAAAATTTCGATTCGAGTCGAATATATTCGCTGCGAATTTAACTTATAAAAGGGTGTTTCTAGGCTTCAGAGAGCCTTTATATTAGTGCAGAACACTGTACCTTTAATTTAAATGCCCTTGGAGTCTGCTGGGGAAGAGAAATAATACTGACAGTCAGTATGACATGCAGATGAGTGCCGTCGATCTTAGAATCACCGCACACTTCACTCATTTGGGCAGTCACGGGGCCAAAACCAGGTGTGGAGCCACAGTGTGGCGGTGGAGGCAGCAGCAATGGGAGGCCATACAGCACCCTATGACAAAAATGGAAACCACCAGCAGTGTGAGGAGACCTGAAAGTGGCACATGGCAGAGTGTGGCGATGGAGACAGCAGCAATGGGAGGCCGTACAGGGACCCATGACACACTCTGGACCTGGCAGCAGCATGAGGAGGCGGTACAGGGGCCCATGACAGATTACGGGCCCAGCAGCATGAGGAGTCGGTACGGGGGCCCATGGCAGATTACGGGCCTGGCAGCAGCAATGGGAGGCCCGTAATCTGCCAGCACCCTATGACAAAAAATGGAACACACCAGCAGTGTGTGAGGAGACCTGAAAGTGGCACATGGCAGAGTGTGGCGATGGAGACAGCAGCAATGGGAGGCCGTACAGGGACCCATGAGAGACTCTGGACCTGGAAGCAGCATGAGGAGGCGGTACAGGGGCCCATGGCAGATTAGGGGCCTGGCAGCAGCTATGAGAGGCCCGTAATCTGCCAGCACCCTATGACAAAAAATGGAACACACCAGCAGTGTGAGGAGACCTGAAAGTGGCACATGGCATGAGACACTGTGGACCTGGCAGCAGCATGAGGAGGCGGTACAGGGGCCCATGGCAGATTACGGGCCTGGCAGCAGCAATGGGAGGCCCGTAATCTGCCAGCACCCTATGACAAAAAATGGAACACAACAGCAGTGTGAGGAGACCTGAAAGTGGCACATGGCATGAGACACTGTGGACCTGGCAGCAGCATGAGGAGGCGGTACAGGGGCCCATGGCAGATTAGGGGCCTTGCAGCAGCTATGGGAGGCCCGTAATCTGCCAGCACCCTATGACAAAAAATGTAACACACCAGCAGTGTGTGAGGAGACCTGAAAGTGGCACATGGCAGAGTGTGTGGCGATGGAGACAGCAGCAATGGGAGGCCGTACAGGGACCCATGAGAGACTCTGGACTTGGCAGCAGCATGAGGAGGCGGTATAGGGGCCCATGGCAGATTAGGGGCCTGGCAGCAGCAATGGGAGGCCCGTAATCTGCCAGCACCCTATGACAAAAAATGGAACACAACAGCAGTGTGAGGAGACCTGAAAGTGGCACATGGCATGAGACACTGTGGACCTGGACCCAGCAGCATGAGGAGGCAGCAGCATGAGGAGGCGGTACAGGGGCCCATGGCAGATTAGGGGCCTGGCAGCAGCTATGGGAGGCCCGTAATCTGCCAGCACCCTATGACAAAAAATGTAACACACCAGCAGTGTGTGAGGAGACCTGAAAGTGGCACATGGCAGAGTGTGGCGATGGAGACAGCAGCAATGGGAGGCCGTACAGGGACCCATGAGAGACTCTGGACTTGGCAGCAGCATGAGGAGGCGGTATAGGGGCCCATGGCAGATTAGGGGCCTGGCAGCAGCTATAGGAGGCCCGTAATCTGCCAGCACCCTATGACAAAAAAAATGGAACACACCAGCAGTGTGAGGAGACCTGAAAGTGGCACATGGCATGAGACACTGTGGACCTGGCAGCAGCATGAGTGAGGAGGCGGTACAGGGGCCCATGGCAGATTAGGGGCCTGGCAGCAGCTATGGGAGGCCCGTAATCTGCCAGCACCCCTATGACAAAAAATGGAACACACCAGCAGTGTGAGGAGACCTGAAAGTGCACATGGCACATGGCATGAGACACTGGAGGCCCTGGCAGCAGCATGAGGAGGCGGTATAGGGGCCCATGGCAGATTAGGGGCCTGGCAGCAGCTATGGGAGGCCCGTAATCTGCCAGCACCCTATGACAAAAAATGGAACACACCAGCAGTGTGAGGAGACCTGAAAGTGGCACATGGCAGAGTGTGGCGATGGAGACAGCAGCAATGGGAGGCCGTACAGGGACCCATGAGAGACTCTGGACCTGGCAGCAGCATGAGGAGGCGGTATAGGGGCCCATGGCAGATTAGGGGCCTGGCAGCAGCTATAGGAGGCCCGTAATCTGCCAGCACCCTATGACAAAAAATGGAACACACCAGCAGTGTGAGGAGACCTGAAAGTGGCACATGGCATGAGACACTGTGGACCTGGCAGCAGCATGAGGAGGCGGTATAGGGGCCCATGGCAGATTAGGGGCCTGGCAGCAGCTATGGGAGGCCCGTAATCTGCCAGCACCCTATGACAAAAAATGGAACACACACCAGCAGTGTGTGAGGAGACCTGAAAGTGGCACATGGCAGAGTGTGGCGATGGAGACAGCAGCAATGGGAGGCCGTACAGGGACCCATGAGAGACTCTGGACCTGGCAGCAGCATGAGGAGGCGGTATAGGGGCCCATGGCAGATTAGGGGCCTGGCAGCAGCTATGGGAGGCCCGTAATCTGCCAGCACCCTATGACAAAAAATGGAACACACCAGCAGTGTGAGGAGACCTGAAAGTGGCACATGGCAGAGTGTGGCGATGAGACACAATGGGAGGCCGTACAGGGACCCATGAGACTCTGGACCTGGCAGCAGCATGAGGAGGCGGTATAGGGGCCCATGGCAGATTAGGGGCCTGGCAGCAGCTATGGGAGGCCCGTAATCTGCCAGCACCCATGACAAAAAATGTAACACACCAGCAGTGTGAGGAGACCTGAAAGTGGCACATGGCAGAGTGTGGCGATGGAGACAGCAGCAATGGGAGGCCGTACAGGGACCCATGAGAGACTCTGGACCTGGCAGCAGCATGAGGAGG